CATTATAAAAAAAAAAAAAATCATTAATTCATGATTCGATTTTCTTGGAATTAGAACCAAATGTAACAATGTCCACACCTAAACAGTTGTGTAAAATTAGGTATACATTGGTATCTTCAAAATCACTTTGGCATTCTCATTTCGAAGGATTTAAATTCAAAATTTGCTCCAATGAAAATATCTAAATTCATTTTTTACCTATTGTAAATGTAAAAATATATATATATATATAAATTTTCATCTTTTTTACATTTTCTTTTGAAAAATACAAATTGCATTTCCTTTTCATCTCTCAATTGGTGATATTTTCAGCCACTTTGAATATCTAAATCACAATTTGGATCTATTTTACACCACAACTGAAAATACTCTAAATGTGAATTTTTTTACAAAGCATCGCAACAATCTTACTATGTTTTAGGCTCCATCAAGACATGATAAAGAGAGTTGGAATTCTCTACCGTGTCAAAATGTGAATTTTCGAAATGTGTTATTTCTATATAAATATCAAGGGCCACTTTGATTATATTTTTTGAAAATAGATGAAAAGTGATATTTTTTGAAAATAGATGAATAGAAAGTATGAAATAATTATGAATTTAAGTGCAAAATTATTTTATTTAAAAATTGTGTAGTTTCAAAGAATATGTACCAAACAAAGGCTAACTAATATTAAATTAAGAGAGAGGAAAAGCCTTAATGCCTCGACTCAATGATTGGGGCTTAAACAGGGGCTCCCTCCCACATTGGAGGGGGGCTGCTCCCTCCAATAGGGGGGCGCCCCTGTTTATGCCCCGATCATTGAGCCGGGGCATAAAGCATGGCTCTAAGAGAGATGTTATATATACAGCCTCCTTATAATGGGGGGCCCATGCTTGTTTTATTGGGCGCGACCCCCTTACTGTGAGGGGGTAGTACACCAAGTTTATTTGGATTCAATTCTTTTNAAATAAAGTTTGAAAAAAAGACATTAGAATTATGTTGGGATTGAAAAGAAATATAAACAATCACGACTTGATGTTTCACAATTAATTTAAAATTATTTTGATATTTAAAATTTATCGATCATATATTTATCATGGTCGCATTTTAACATTTTCAACAAATTTTAAAACGAATATATGTAACTTAAAAACATTGAATCAAATGTTAAAAAAAAAAAAAGTTAGCCGAGCCGAACCATAAAGCCATTTGGCTCTGCTCGACTAACGGCTTATGAACAGTAAAGACAAACTGACTCTTTTATTTATGGTAGAGATATGAATAGAAAGTACGAAATAATTATGAATTTACGTGCAAAATTATTTTATTTAGAGATTGTATAGTCTCAAAGAATTTGTACCGAACAAAGGCTAACTAATGTTAAGTTAAGAGAGATGCTACATGTACAACCTTTTCACAATAGGGGCCCATGCTTGTTTTATTGGGCACAACCCCCCTACCGTGAGGGGGTTGTACACTAAGTTTATTTGGATTCAATTCTTTTGAGTCAAGTTATTTTATGAAAACCAAATTATGGAAATATTCTAAAGTAAAATTTTCACTTTAAAAGTATACTGAGTGAAAGCAGTGATACTTTAGTTGTCATGAGATAACTGCAATTAGAATTTTAGTAGATTCATGCACCGATATGTCGGTTCTTTCTTGTTTACGGTTTGATTCTGTACTATTTTGCACATTTTCGTTAAAAACCAAGGGTCGAATAGTGATTAACTTGTCGTTTATTTTAAATTTTGACATTGTATAGTAACCATAAATCTTTGTTCTTATTACATTTCATGTCAAAAATTTAATATCATTCTAACTAAATGATTTGGTTTTAATCATTATCCTTTAGGGTGAAAACTGTTAGACTATGACATTGTACAATCAATTTCTAAGTAACTTATTTAAGTCAATATATTTTACTTTTTCATTCCTTTTCAAAAAGAAAATTGTAACACTTTCATGAATACTTTTATAAATATAAGATATTGGGTTAATTCTGACCACCAAACTTTGTTTAAACATCATTTGTGGGCCATTAATTTTTAGCAATAGAGAAAAGTATCATTTTTCAGGTTGTCTTAATCAATAGTTTAGACTTTGTGACCTTTTTCGAATTTTTAGGATGTCAAAAGCGTGTAGTTTGAATTTTGTTTCTTTCGGTTGTTCAAAACGTATTGTTTGAATTTATGCCCAATAGCATTTTCTTTGTAATTTAACCTTTTAGAATTTATTCGTATTTTTTTAACAGTTGTGTTACGTGTACATCTTAACTCACATATTTATTTACAAATTGATGACTTGACTAGATTTGATTGAAACAAAATCTCAAAAAAAAAAAAAAAACATTCTCACTTTCTTTTTGACACATCATCAATATGTAGAAGTTAGATAAATTGTGAGTATAACAAACATTTTCCTTTTTTTTTTAATTAGTTGAAATGCCCATTAAGGATTATTGGGCATACTTTAAAAGATTAATCTACTTGTACATTGAGGTTGACATAATGTGAGTGGGGGTGGGGTCCACGATACTGTAGCATGGGACCTAAAACACTCACATTATGTGAACACCTATGTGTACATTTATGTACACATATTATGGCTCAATATAGAATGGAG